GAACAGCCTAGGCTATGTATACAGTGGGATCCTGTCTCCCATAACCCTCCAAATGCTACTACCCAAAGCATACCTTTATCAGTTGTCTTATTGTCAAGCCCTCTTCAACTCCTATAGAAATTTGCCATAACAAAATGGCAGGCCACAAAAGAATTTAGAATTGAAGCTGAGAATATACGAGTAGGAAAGCAAACATAGGAGGTACAGCGTGTAATGGGGCTAATGATGTAAATTAAGTAGTGGTGAGCCCTCCAAAATGACTGGCAGGGTTGTCCTATGTCTGACTCATTTTCATTTTAGAAACTCTATTGTCCAGATAGCCTATGGATCCCTTAAGCGTGTTAACACACCGAGACCACTTCCTACCAGCCCCAAGTCTCCCACAGCATCATACTCTGAGCTTCTTTGGCTCCTGGTCAGATATTTTCCCCCTTTCCTCTTGAACTATTAACAATCTCTCAGTATTCACCAATCTACTCTAATAAGGACAGCTGAACAGTTAATATATTTCATTGGCAAAGCAGTTTAATAGGAGGGAGGAAACATCTTGAAAGGAAAGGAATGGGAAAGGTCAGTGTGGCAGGAAGTTGTTAGAATTGCCCTTCTGGGGTGAGAACAGGACTCTGAATGTCCAGACTATAACTAGCTGTAAGAAGTAAGCAGCTTCATCCATATGTTAGGAAATCCTTCTGCTGAGCTTTTCTTGAACATAGTGTTAGGCTGTGATGGGATGACCACACTGAGGAGCAAAGGAAGAAAAGACTGAAAGGCAGGGCGGAGGCAGATAGCGGAGAGTTGTCAATGTTTACACTGAAAAGGAAGGATTGTTTTAAACATATTTGTATTAGTTCTTTGAAAACTTCATATTTGCATACAAAGTATCTTGATCATATCTACTCCCAACTTCTCCACAAATCCTCTCAGATCCACCTCAAGCCCCTTCCCCTTTCTCTTCTTTTGTCCTCTTGTTTTTTTTTTTTAATTACTTTGCATAACCCATCAGGATCAATCTGTGCACACTCACAGTTGCTGGGCTATCAACTGGAACATGGCTCACCAACTAGGCCATACCCTTAAAAGTGATTGTCCCTCTCCAGCAACTATCTGCTGTCTAAAGCTCCTTAGCTAGGAGTGGGGTGTCTGTGAGCCCCTCTCCCCTCTGCAGTAAAGAACACTGCCATTGCCTTGAATGAGGGAGATGGACGTGCAAAAGCTGTCTTGACACACAGAATGCTGAGATGGAAGACAACGGAGATGAAGAAAGTCAAAGACATGTGACAAAATGCATGCAGCCAAGAAGACGCACAACCAAGTAACCACAAGGAGCCAGACTGTCCCTGAGTGAACGAAGTGGCCTCTAAGATCAGTGGGTGTCGGATGTGCTGCAGTCACTGATGGCCATGCGTCAACACCATTGCGCCTGAGCTGCCCCGTGACAACCTAAGCCTAAGAACCTTGTCCACAGCAGAGCCTGTCCAAACACAGTATTTCCAAATTCATGAGACACCTGGCCCAGATCCACCCACACCATTACACATGCAAACAATGGTACGTGTACACAGAGGGAATGCCATTTTTCCATGGCTCCATCTCAACACAGAAGTGTATGCCTCATGTCACATACTAAATTTATAATGCACATTAGCAGACAAGCTCTCAGCTTGTTGTCTTAGGAGGACAGGATGGAAGATAATACACGATTCGGAAAAATTAAATATTTCTAATTAAGAATTTTAACCTCATAATCTTTGTCTTCTAAACATTTTTCCCATTTAACAGACTAACAGTTTACTATATAACTAGGCCAAGTTTAAGTTTCAATTAAAATAAATTCCTTCCTTATATAAACTCAGTTTGATACGGTTTTGAGAAAAAGATGATTGTACACATTTTATTTTTTTAAATATTCAAATATATCAAATAGTTCGTGGATAATGATCACAGCAAAGGGCATTTTTAAAAATCACAAAACTGATAAGAATTAGTTTTGTACCCATGTGAAAATTACTAGGATAAGGAAAACATAAAAAATATTATGCAAATGCTAATATGAGAATTATTTCTATAATACTTTTAATTTACATTTGAATACGTGTTAACTATCAAATGCCACAAGACAAAATATGGAGCTATGCTGATTGCCCCATACTGTGTTTATATGTCCTTTCCTGTGACTGTACTAACATGAGAATGAGGTAAGTCACTCTCAATTATTGCTATGGAAAGTTCTATACAGTAATGTTCATCTCCAAAGCACTAGCTATTGGCATTTGGATCTTGAGTTTTACATGCGTCCTGTGACTTTGCTAAGCCTCAGGAAGCAACGTTTTCCTTTAGTGAATTCAATAACAGGCCTTTGCGGACATCCACCAGTAGGTGGAGCAGACAGCATAATTTATTACCGAGAACAAGGGCAAAGGAATGAAAGTCAGTTTCTTTGGAATAAAACAAATCTGTAAATGAGATTTTCTTCAAAGGAAATATGCCCTGTATGTGTTAGATTTGGTTTGACTGGTTACTGAATCAAAATAAATAACTTTATTAAATAATCAATCTTCGCAGAAAGATAAATTTACAAATGGAGGCATTGCTTGCATTTTATTTTATTCAAATCAACTAAAATTAGCTTCCCTTTCAAAAAATTTTTACAGGAACAAAAATTTTTTTGATGTGTTCATTTAGTAAGGATGTTAAACCCAATCCTGCTTTACAGGTGGCGGGTGCATAACAAGTAGTATTTTCTAGGAAATATAATTGACTAATCCTGTTATGTCTGCAGCAACAAATTAACCTTATTACTACTAGTAAATGGTGATTGATTATTTATGCAAATAAGTTGCCATGTTCAGCTTTCTGATTGAAATAAACATATAAAAGAGGCGCTTTACTATGACTTGAACTTTTTAATTAATAAAGCCCTGAGGGGTCTGTTAATTCACCCATTGCAATATTAGTTATTTACTCATGGAGCTCTTATTAGCACAAACATATTTGCTTGAATAAAGATGAGATAACAATAAAACTATGAATAGCTCCTGAAACTATTTAAAAATATACATCAGATTCATACTAAAATAGGCTTAAAAGTAAGCTTAAATTATGCCTGTAAATATCAATACATCAGCATAACCAGTCTAGGGTTATTAATTCACTAAATAGCGTTATCTATAGCGACATTAACAAACACAATTTTGCTCTGCAAAATTCTTCAATGTTTTTAAGGCATCATTTGCCTGACTAATATTTTTATCTACTAACAATATTAGGATACATTAGAACTGTAGAAATGTCAACATTACTATTGTATGTTGCATATTAATAATGCCATTACTAAATTGTTGAAACTTCCAATAAACTACGTTCTCATCTAAAAATCCTACAGACATTCTTTTTACACAGTTTAACAAAACTGTTTGTGTACAAATAAACTTCTCACAAAAAGAACTTGCACTTGCTACTGACAATTAGAATACAAGTCTTTGGATGTGAAACATCCTGTACTAGGCACAAGCAGTCCAGGAGAATTAGCCTGGACAACTAAGAATATTTTTAAATCCAAACATCAATTTCCACCCAATAGCCAAGTCATTAAGGCAAATGAGTAACAATACTCACATAGAAGTGTATACTTTTTGTTTCTTGTATAGGGAAAGTATTTAAAATTCCTTGTATCAGCAAAATCAAAACTGAAAATGGTTGTTAATCTTAGTGAGACTGCTTATAGATAGCAATTTTCTCTTATTAAAATGGTTGTGTGACAGCCGACTTAAATGAGGCTGAGTGTTCCTTATGGCTAAGGATCCGTTAGCATAACCTTACACACTCTAAATCCCAGCACAGTGTCATGGAGGGCAGGGATTCAGAAACAAGCTAGTCAGAGTATAGGCTAAGGAGGGGCTTTGTTCAGTGTGGTAAAGTTCTGTAGTCTCCGAGCACTGCCTCTATAGCATGTTATGAGATAAACACTGGCCCAAAGGAAGCACACCAGGCCTACTGGCAGCATGGGAAGGCATGCATTTGACAGCATCATCTGGCAGCATCTGAGCTCATGGACCAGTGAACAGATTGGACAATAAGGTGGTATCATTCTTCTATTTTATCTCTAAGACAGTTGCCCTTGGGCACGGGGCACAGTCCCCGTGAGTCTTTTGTGAGAAGATCTGACAACACAGTCTCACCTGCAATGTCCCAACACCAATAACTGCGCCGGGTAATGTGAAGGTGAAGAGGTCAGCAACATTGAGGCCACAGCGTAAAGAGCTCTACTCCTCATTAATAACTAAAATAAATAAAAGAAAGGAGACAGCCCCCTCTTTCCACTAGCAGCGGCTTAGGGCTTGAACCCCTGTCATCAGGCTTGGTGGCAAGTGCCTTTACCTACTAAGCTATCTCACTGGCCAACTGATGCATTAAAAACCATATTTCTCTGGTCAGAATACTCTATGTGCAATGCACTCTTTCTCAGGAACTGTAACAAAATCTTACGTATATGAATACATTTCTAAATATCCTAAATTCCACATTTATCTCTCCATATGAAGCAATTTGTTGAAAAGCTTTACTTGACAACGTCTGTCAAAATTTAGAAAGGGAGGAAGAATGGGCTTAATCTCAACATTCATCAATTAAAAGAGAAAGCCTGAAAGCCAGCTCAGCTTAATAACGTGCTAGTTCTTGATCAATTCACAACACAACAATAAGCCACTCAGAATGAGTTTTTTGAAGGCGAGGTTATGCCCTTCCTGTTGTGTTATCGCTGTGGTGGATCACTCTGCTGACTTAGACCTTTCTGCCAGTGGCTCAGAGGCTGCCTTTATGAAGCACTGTCACAGGCCAATCATGGCGCCTGCGCACAGACACAGAAACACGAAATTGAACTCGAAGTAGTGTCTTTGTGATATCTTTTCAACAAGTCATGTCCTATTCAGCCTGATAGTTTATCTCTGTCAGGCTAGGGGTCCCCGTGGCTCATGGGAGCTGCCAGGCACAGGTAGACTCACCTGCTTCGTGCTGAGCAGGTAATGCATCTTGCGGGCTTGGTGATCTTTTTGCTTCTCTTCCCATTCCAGGAGAGCCTTTCTTTCTTCTCTCTCTTTCATTTCTGCGAACTCCTCCAAAGCCTCCCTGCATCAAAATCGTTAGCAGTTACTCTGTTGGCATCTGTTGATTCCCTAGTTCTTACACTGATGATAATCAAGTTTTTTGAGGGGCAATTATCAGCCACATCCATCAAAATCAAGGGCGCAATTTATCTTGCCTGTGAATTCTGTGGAAATCTTTGGTCTTGTTAGACAGCATTTAAGTGACTTTGTCATGATGGAGCTTTCAACACCAAAAGCCTACATGTTACAATTAATACAGTGGCAGAGGAAATGCCAAAATCCAATATAAAGTGTGTGGCTTTCTATATCACCTGTGTCCTTTGCTGAAGATTAGCTCTTTTGGAAATATTTAAATATCCCAAGAAAGATGTGAGTCTTAAATTTTAATTTCTATTTACAAATATCTACTTACTTTGTATATTAGTCACTTTATATTTTAAAGTCCAGATTTTTACATGCTTAATTGATTCTGTTTACTTCAGCTAACAGCTCAACTACTACCAATAAGATTACACATATTATCCTGCATCTGAATAACTGACATTTTATTCAATTACATAAGTAATCTAAATAAAGGGTTACATTAAGTTTAACTTTTTTCTAAGGCATGAGAAATTCACTAAAATAATGAAAAAGTCCTCATTCATGTATACGCCTAGGAAATTTAAATGAAAAATAAGCTTTAAATTATACTGTATGATAAATAGCTTCCAAATAGAACATGATATTATCAAATAAGGAAGAAAGACTACATCTTTTGTTTTCATTGGACAGATTTATCACTCATGTCAGACCAGCATTTTAATTCTGCTGTTTTATTTTAAAAATAGATATTTAACTTGGTGTCGACTTCTATTTGTAAAGATTTAAATAAACCACCTTAGTCTTTGCTGCATATATACTAGGGAAAACTAGAAAGAGATAGACTAAAAAGAAAAAAGAAAGTAAAAGGATTCTCCTTGCTCCCTGAGTGTCTGGTAAATTTTTGTCACAATCCCCCCTTACAAGCTACCAATACTTCACACAAGGTTACTTATGAAACACTGTGATGTTTAAAAATCACCATGCTAGGCTACTGTAGCAGAGCAATTTTTTTCAACAGGAGATTAAATTGCAAAATAAATGAATTACTTGGAGTGGCACGGCCCCCTATTTTACCACCCTTCCCTTGAAAATTGCTTATTAATATGAAAACAGAAGCCATAAAATGGCCTGTTTTCCTTTGTGCATGGTATTGGGGTGCTTCTGCACCCACCAACCTGGGCTAGCTGCACATTTAGATTGTGTTGGCAAGCTGGTACAGTGACCTCTCTGACTGCATCTCAAGGCTATTATTAATCGCCAAGTAACCTGGTAAAGCCAAACAAATTTGTTTCCATTGAAAGCATCTCTGTCTGTGTCTCCGACTTTGCTCTGTACCAAACAAACCTCATTAACTGTGTCCACTTTTTGACAAAGAACCAGGACTTAGAGGAAATGCTGACCTTTCTTTGTCCTTAAGGACCTTAAGGTACACATTTCAAGACAGTTATATATGAGCAAATGAGAATTTTTACCAGGAAAAATGACAATCATGTTACACAAAAAAGTAAGTGCATTATAAATTTTAATCTTTTAGTTTTGTTATTATGTAAAAAAAAGTTTGTTTGAAAAATAATTAATTCCTCTATGATTCCTCTCACAAGCCTTTGAGATAATTCAGAGTAACACGTGCAGATACTGCATGTCCTAGCTTATATAATGTAGAAGTGAACCCAAGGAAGAACTTGTTAGCAGTAGGAGTGGACTTCGGCGTATGTAACTGCAGACAAGGCTGCAGTCATTAACCATTCAGACACAAGACGGAGAGGGTATTTTCTACTGACTCAGCCACGCATGTCTTTTGTCTTATGGTCCTGTTTTCTATTAATCTGAGTATTAGAAAATACTCAGATTTTCTGCATCATTTTCATTGCCTATGAATATTCTGTGATAGCACTTTAAACATAAAGATTAAAACTACTTCAAATACAAAACTCATATTTGAGTTCATCTGACTCATGGCATTTATAGTGATAAATATTTACACATTCTAGAATCACCATGATAATAAGAATAAAAGTAGCCACTGGGAGGCAATGTAGGGGAGCACTTAGGACGTTCTCTGCAGTGACCCTGGCTATCCAAGCTGCACTGTACCTTTTGCTTGCTTTCTAAACTCTGTATTCCAATACCTTCATCTAGAAAAGAAAGAATACACTATGATTTCCATCTTTCTCATTGGGATATCGTGAGGGTCAGATTAACCGAACCTATGCAGAATAATGCTATGTAAGCCTTAGATTTCTTTAACATACATATATATGGGGTGCAGGGCTATTCACTTCATTTACTACAGCTCTTATGCGCTGTGTCTAATCTCCTGATGACATTCCTTCTGGTAAGTGCATACTGTGTGTTTGAAATGTCACGATGAGAACACAGTACCTGGCTTCTTAAGAGGCACGAGGCACGAGCAAAACTGTCACCAGCAGGAAAGAAAGGAGAAAATAAAACGAAGACGAAGCTCTCTTTCCTCCATCCTCCTCACACTACATTGTGGAGACCTTGAGGAGAGTTTCACCTTCTGATCCTGGAAGAAAGCTGTATGGCTAAAGGGGTCAAGCACATCTGTTAGGGTCTGTTGCATCACTATGGGGCTATGTGTGCAGACAATGGCCGGAGCTGGTTGTTCACCGCATCACATCTCCCCATACTGGACCAAAGCACCCTAGCCTGAAACTGTCAGGAGTGGTGGCTGTTGACTGCTCCTAGCTGAACCCTGCTAGGGGAAACTAGCAGGTTGCACTTGCTGACTAAGGGAAGACACAGGCCTGGGGCCTTTTCCCCAGTGTGGAACACTGAACCGTTCCATCCAAATCTCAGAGTTCCCGAAGCTGGCTGCCACCACTGCAGGATATTGCTTTCTGTGCACACTTTCCCCTCAGCTTCCAGTCCTTACTCATTCACTAGACCTCTGCTTCAAAGATCCCTCACACCAGAGGCATGCACACTTCCTTTCTTTCACCTTTGCTGCACCAATCTTGAACCATCCAAACGGTATGAGCACTTTAGTCATTGTTCTGCTTAAAGGAGTTTTCTAGGTAAGATAACGTCGATTATCTGATTTAATACACTTCACACATATTGGGGAAACAATGGCCCATTGAACAGATTGTATCAGCCTGCTTTACAGATATAGGAGATAAGAGTCAGAGATTAAATCTCTACTGAACACCCATAACTAAAGTTTGAATCCAAGTCTGACTCCAGAATCGATGGCTTTAATCATAATGTTAAATTCATATGATGTTATTTTGCTTAGTCTAGTATTTTACTTCTTGTTGATTTCTCTCTCTGAGAAAGTTGCTACGCTATTTTTCAAAGCACACATGAAGATGAGGATGGAGCTAATTTGGGAGTGGTTTACTTCCTCTTTCACCATCAGTTCACAGCTTTAGAAGTAGGTGGCTACATAGAAACATGGAACATGATTTTGATGAACAGCCATATGCTTACCATTTGCTATTTTTAAAGTAAAAACTCTAGGATGCATGTTACTTTTAAAAGGACAATTAAACTGAAAAGATACTTAGACACTACTAGGCAGACATAACTAGCAAATAGTAAAATGTTACAAGGGCTTGAGGCTAGACTCTGGCTCTGACCATCCTACTCAGCAGTGCAACTTGTAGGCACCACCATGCTTTAGTCTCAGCCGGTTCCATCCTAGCACACTGGGAAGACGGTCACTAACTGCAGCATCCTTCGCTTACAAAGCATGCACACTGACTGCACCCCTCCCTTACAAAGCATGCGCACTAAGTGCAGCATCCTTTGCTTACAAAGCATGCGCACTAACTGCATCCTTCCCACGGCTCTTCGCATTCAAAACACTGTAAATTTGTTTTTCCTCCAAGAACTAAAAAAAAAAAAAACCTTACAATTGGGGTTGGAGAGATAGATCCATGGTTAAGAGACTGCTCTTCCAGAGGTCCTGAGCTCAATTCCCAGCAACCACATGGTGACTCACAACCATCTGTAGTGGGATCCGAAGCCCCCTTCTGGTGTGTCTGAAGACAGCTACAACATACTCACATACATTAAATAAATAAATAAATCTTAAAAATCTTACAGTCATGTATTTATACATACATTTATTTGCTATCTGAGTCTTCCACTAGACTGCAAACTCCATAAAAACTCCATCTATGTTGTTCCTGTCTATTGGAATAAAACAGTCACTCTATTTTGTAAGATAGTCCTGGATGGTAGGAACAATGTGATAAGTATAAACTCTACTAGAGGATTTATTGTCTTCATGTAAGTATTTAGGTCTGTGTGGGTGAATGACGGCAGGAACTCCAGGGGAATGACAGACAGGTGAGAACACTTTCTCTGTCCTGAGCCCTCGTAAGCTGACATTATTTCCTTTCATGCAGTAACTTGTGTATTCCCACAACACACGCTTTCTTTCTCTTCTTACAATGACTTAAGTTGTTTCTTGATTTTCCCTAAAGTCTATGCCAAACCAGAAAAATATTTTCCACAACATTTTGAGAACAGCACCCTGCTCAAAATTGTTTCCACAAACCATATTAAAGATCATCTGGGTCCTGAAATCAATCTCGGCTATGAGGGTTATGACAAGTGCTGTGTTCACTCACTGAGCCAGTTCGCCAGCCCTCCAACATCTTTCTCCCATTCTTTCAAGAAAGCTTCATCGGTGTCCCTGTTAATAATTATTTAACTGTTTTCACCATCATAAGCCTCCATTCTTCTTTCATAGAACAACATACTATAGAGTTTATTACAGCTGCATGCATACATAATGTATTTCTTGAAATAATCCTACTAAGTGCTACAGTATTGATATGGTTATGTTTGTTTAATTAGGAAGTCTATGTGGGTAATTTGAGGGATGGTCAGGAGTTCGGTATGATAATCCAGAGAAAGTAAAAGGCAGGTTAAAAAAAAAAAGGTGCCAGTAAATGCTTTAGCCAA